ACATCTGTCTTTAAGATGCTCTCAGTAAATATCTGCTCATTTGATTAGATTTTACAAGCCACTAGTTACTGGCATTCCACTAGCCACTAGTTACTGGCATTCCACTAGCCACCAGGCCTCAGAGACTTCACTATTTGAAATACTAACACTTTACCTATTAAAGACATATTTCCTGAGGTGATATTAGAAGAGAAATAGTAAAAGAATGATAATAATAACTAAGAAAAAATAGATGTTATTTAAAAACATAAATATATGACAGTTATTTCTAGGTTTCCTCATATAAAGAATTTGCATTCAAAAAGAAAGAAAATACTTTAAGTATTAATTTAATTGAATATAATTTTAATATAACATCAACAGTGTTAGAAATGTTTCTTAATATGTGAATAATCAATTAGTTTTGTGATAGACACAGACAACAATATATTGACTACAAGAAGGAAAAGGGTGTGGTAAAGAACTGCTAAACTTTGTTCTCTCTCAAAACTTTGAATTAAGAATAACCTAGGCCATGGCTCTATAACACCAAGCTGCCTCTAGCTCCCCAGGGGAGAAGTGGGGGTAAACGAAGAAGTCTCTATACTGTGGCTCCTACAAAGCAGACTGCCCGTAAATCAACCAGCGGAAAAGCACAGAGGAAGCAAAGGGCTACCAAAGCCACTCGCAAGAGTGTGCCCTCTACTGGAGAGGTGAAGCAACCTAATGGTTACAGGCCTGGTACCACAGTACTTTGTGAAATTAGAGGTTACCAGAAGTCCGCAGAACTTCTGATTCTCAAATTTCCATCCTATCATCTGGTGTGAGGAATCGCTCAGGACTTAAAACAGATCAGCGCTTCCAGAGTGCAGCTACTGGTGCTTTGCAGGAGGCAAGTAAAGCATATGTGGTTGACCTTTCTGAAGACACCAACCTGTGCGCTATCCATGCTAAACATGTAGCAATTATGCCAAAAGCCATCCAGCTAGCATGCTGTATACATAGAGAACGTGCTTAAGAATCCACTGAGGGAAACATTTCATTCTTTAAAAAAAAAAAAAAATTTTCTCTTCTTCCTGTTATTGGTAGTTCTGAGCCTTAGATATTTTTTTCCTATGGGGTCAAAAGGTACCTAAGTATATGACTGCAAGTGGAAAACAGAGGACAGAAATCAGTTTTTCCACTTTCATTTGTGTGTGAATTTTTTAAATATAAATGCAGGGACATAAAACATTAATGCAAGTCAAAATATTTCAGTGAACAAGTTTCAGAAGTTCAACTTTACAATAATTATAAATAAACCTATTAAGTTTTTCTGGACAATGCCAGCATTTGGATTTTTTAAAAAATAAGTAAATTTCTTATTAATGACTACTAAATGGTGTTTGCAGTACTTTTGATATACAGTGGATTTCATCCATTCACTATACTTTTCTAACTGAGTTGTCCTACATGTAAGTACATGTTTTTAATGTTATCTGTCTTCTATGCTTTTCCTGTAAGTTTGCTATTAAAATACATCAAACTATTTTTTTAATAAGAATAATCTAATTAAAGAGAAAAAAACACATGAATTTCTGGCTTACTCAGACCTCAAGTTATGTTAAAAAAACAGTAGATAATTTTTAAAATGCATAAATTTAAGAGAGTAACTTTGACTTTTAACAAAATACTTGTTTCGCCCTGTACACAATACCTAAAAAGCTGAAAACAGAATCATACCTTTCCTGAAGAAATTATAAAAGTATAATTTTTGAGATAAGCATATTCAATAACCATTTATTGATAATGATAATTTTACAAGTTAGCCCCCCAAAATAAAGAAACACATTTTTAAAATTACTATCCAGAGTATCTGCTTTCTGGCTTACGTAACTTAATTGAGATACATATACAGGACTGTACAGAGGACACACCAGCGTGGTTACGCATTTAGTCACAAAACAGAACTGCGAAGGGTCAGCGTTCTTCCTATTCACTTTAAGTCATACATTATATATATGAAAAGATAACAGTATGATTAGGATGCATTAAAAATCGGGCTGATTACATAATCTCAGAGGCTTAGCTACTATGCTATTTTCAATTGTCAAACTATAGGACAACTGAATGATTAGAAAACTCTAGGCAAGTAAGTGAATTACACTGAGGGAGATTGCATTATACAGTGGAATGAATGGGATTTGGAGTCACACTGGCGTTTAAATCCCAGCTCTCCCATTTCCTGGCTGTTTGATCACAGGTAAAATGTCTAACTTCTCTGAGCCTCAGTTTATCTATAAAATGGGCATGATTATTATTCCCTTGCAGAGTTGTGGTGAAGATTTTAAAAGATAATATCATTTCTTTGCTTAAACCCTCCAACGATTCATTATAATTTATAAAGTAAGTTTCAGACTCTGTCAAAAACACCATCTTACTTTCAGAGAGAAACTATGTTTTCTGCTTTCAACATTTCTGAAAACGTCCAAGCAGAAATGTCCAATTAGGTAGACAAAATGTAGGCTTAGTGACAGAATACAGAGAAGGATAGACTAGCAGAGTTCCGTGGCATCACCCATCCAGACAACAAATTCACTCAAAGACTGATATTTTTGTAATTTGGATATATCAGTCTTTATTCCTCCTACCTGATATAATTGTCATACGGTTACTCATTAATCCCTGCTTAACAAGTAATTTTGCAGTAATGGGATAGAACAATTTTTTAAATGCCCTAGGACAAGTAAATTCCTTGCCATCTCCTCCCTTTAGCATATCAAAAATTCTGCTTTATGATAAAATGGGTGATGATTTCAACTTCTATTTTAAATAATCCCTTGCCAGGCCAGCATGGCTCGGTGGTTGAGCTTTTGACCTATGAACCAGGTCATCATTCAATTTCCAGTCAGGGCACACACCTGGGTTGCAGGCTAAATCCCCAGTAGGGGGCCTGCAGGAGGCAGCGGATCAATGACTCTCTCTCATCATTGATGTTTCTATCTCTCTCTCCCTCTCCCTTCCTCTCTCTGAAATCAATAAAAACATGTTTTAAAATAATAATAATAATAATCCTTTATCTTGATAACCTTTCAGTTTATCTCATACTCCCAAACGAAATCTCTATTATTGCCTCAATACCGAAATTTAGCACATTCCAAGTGGAATCTGGACTCCAGGTACTTCCAGACTCCACCTAAACTAAGCATTTCTACTCTCTCCAGATTTTTTTTCAAGTATTGATAGAACTGTTTCCTCCAGCAAAGAGTAAGCTCCTCTAAAGACCGGAATCATATGATATAGCACTTAGCCCACCATCATCTCCAATATGTGTATGCCACTTGTACATACATATTCAATAATATATTTGCTTTGTTTTATTTTAATTCTCTACTTCCAAAAGTCAAATAATTAAAACTAATTAGTGGCCTATCCCAGTTACCATTTACTGAATATTTACTTTATGTCACTCTGCATTTTTTTAAACCACAAAATATTACCATATATTATCAACTCTAAAATATCAGACTTATAAGATCCATTTTTAGGGATCTTAAAATGTAAGGTGAAAAAATGTGCATCTTTCAGTTTCAATCTTATTTTATTTTATATATTATTTTAATTAATTTATTTTATTTTATTTTTTTATCCTCACTTGAGGATATTTTTTTCCATTGCTTTTCAGAGACAGTAGAAGGGAGAGAGAGAGAGAAAGACATGGATGTGAGAGAGACACACTGATTGGTTGCCTCCCGCATGTGCCCCAACCAGCTGGGGATCGAGCCTGCAACAGATTTAGGTGCCGTGCCCTTGGCCAAAATTGAACTCGGGACCCTTCAGTCCCCAGGCCAACGCTCTAACAACTGAGCCAAAGCAGCTAGGGCTCAACCTCACTTTAGAAACTGAAGGTCAAAGAGTGCTTAAAAACTCTGTCCAACATTAATACCTGTTAACCAGGTTAGTCACCGGTAGCAGTCTGGGGGAGAAATGGATCAAAAGCCAGCTGCTTTAACTACTTCCCGGTCATTAGGTAAAATATGTGCATATCCAATATGTGTTGGTGTGCTCAGAAGAGTTCTTATAAAACTGCCTTGCATACATTTTCCCAACACTCCTATTATAGAAGATAAAGTCAAAAGTTCATTCCACCCATAAGAAAATATATAGTAATTACTAAAATCTGATATTCATTTTGAGTCATTCTAGGCAGATAAAATATGTCTGACTTTATTGGTGGGAACGTTTTATTTTCTTAAAATGGTGCCATATACTGCAGTTTGTTGAGAATACAAAGGGTCACTTGTCTTTTTCATACAAAAAACATGTTATAAATTAATACCAAAGTGATCTGCCATTTAAAAGCACATGATTTCCAAATGATTGACCATTTTCACCTAACAACCAGATATATCAAACAATAAATTTTATAAAGCAGAGTGGTAATTAGGCTAGTAATAATTTTGAATGAAAATTTATTTCAGGTAATAGATTTTTTTTTAAGATTGGTAGAAAACACTTATAAAAGTCAAAACTTAGAATCTGTATCTTAACTGAGCATCAAGTGCAAGAAAGAGCAGACTAAATTCAGTTTCTGTCCCCACTCTCCCTCTTCTTCTCCCCACCCCTCTCCTTCTAGCTCTCTTTTTTGTAATAACTGTTAACATTTTAAATTATTTTTATACTAAGAAATAAGTATCAGATCTATAGAACATAAAATAGGAAGAAAGAGAAAAGTCTGGGATTATTTTCATTAAAAATATGTATATTTGCAGAAGTTGTTATTAAACAAAATGTCATTTTCTTTTAAGCATAAAAGCAATTGGTAAGCAAAGATTAAAAGGCCCAGCAATTCATTTTCAGCCCAAGGTCAGGTTCCAATATGACTGAATTATTTAAAATAGATTTTTAGGTCAGATTCACTTAATATCATATACAACAGGTGTTTCTCAATTTGTTACATGAAGCATCATAGAATTCACCACATTTTTAAATGGCATTCTATGAATTAAGAACTAATAATGATATCAAAATTATCATCTTACTTCTCCATTTCTTAACGTTGTGATGGCTCCTCTTGCTACACCCATTCTAAATAGTGTTTCTGTGGCCTGTAAATAAAAAAGAAATCATCTATAATGTCTATTCAACTGTACATCCCACCTTCAAAATGTAAAAAACATTTCCAGCAACTTCTAGAGAGGCATCAATAAGGCACAGTAAGAGCTACAAGTTCTAAATTATACTGCAGAAATATCATTTCCAGAACCTTTTAATGCTATGAAGAGCTCAAACTAAATTATTTTTCAAAGGTTATTTTGATTTTCTGGTATTTTTCCAGATCTAGAGTTTCAAATTAGTAGACTCAGATAAGCTTAAACCTTAGTTTGATTAACAAAGATTAAATAAAAATTTAGTACTTGGACTCAAATCAGAAATTATCATTTGTTCTAATTTTTAGTTTTCACTTGAGTTCAGTTCAAATCACCTGATTGCCAGTGAAATACTGACAAAAGGTGAAGTAATTTAGTAATGTAATATATTAAGTAACATACAAAAAGAGTTATGGCTTTCTATACACTAATAATGAATAAACCTAAAAGGAAATTAAGAATTCTATTTACAATAGCATAAAGAATACCTTAGGAATAAACTTAACTAAAAGCATAAGACTTCTTCACTGTACAGAACACCGCTGAAAAGATTAAAGAACACATAAACAAATGGAAAACATCCTATGTTCATGAATTGGAAGACTTAATTATCGCTAAGATACCAATACTACCCAAAGTGATATACAGATTCAATGCGATTCCTATTTTGTATTTTTTGCAGAAATACAAAAATCCACCCTAAAATTTATATGGAACCCAAATAGCCAAAACAATTTTGAAAAGGAGGAACAAATTTGGAGGAATCATACTTCCTAATTTCAAAACTGAGAAATTAACAAAGCTATAGTAATCAAACAGTGTGATACTGTCATAAGACAGACATATAAACCAATGAAAGAGACTAGAGAGCCCCAAAATAAACCCTCGTGTATATGGTCCAATAACATTCAATAAAGGGTGCCAGGACCGTTCAAATGGGACAAGGAGAGTCTTTTTAACAAATGGTGCTGGGAAAGCTAGATATCCACATGCAAAAGAGTGAAGATGAACCCTTACCTTATACCATACACAAAAATTAACTCAAAAGAGATGGGAAACCTAAATGTAAGAGCAAAAGCTATAAAACTCTTAGAAAAAATATAAGGGAAAAGCTTCATGATTCAGTGTCTGGTAAGGACATGCTTCCTGGTTCCTAGGTGGCTGTCTTCTTTTTCTCATCACATGGCAGAAAGCAAACAGAAGCAAGCTCTCGCTGTACTTCTATCAGGGCACTAAATCCCACTTATGAGAGCAAAGCCCTCAAGAGCTCATCTAATCCTAATTACCTCCCAAAGGCCCCCCTCCTAATACCATCACATTGCGGGGTAAGGTTTTGAAATGAATTTTGGATGAACACAAATATTCAGTCCATAATAGGGTGTTCCATTCAGAAGGGGCAAGTACAAAGGCCAGTAGATAGAATCATGCCTGGCACGTTCAAGGATGAGTAAGATGACCAGCGAGGCTAAAAGAAAAAGACTGCATGAGGGAGGTGTGGGAAAAGAAAGGATGCAAGTTCATTTGTTCAATATGCAATGTGTGCTATTATTTTTCAATCGGGCATAAGAGAAATGCATTACAAACCTTCAATAATTGAAAAAAATTTCAAAGAATGCTCTACTAACATAAATTTTAAGAATTAGTATATGAAAAAAAAAGGATAGAGAATTCTCAATTTAAAAACTGAATGCACATCTCAAGAAATCCAAAGAGTAGGAGAAATGGAAAACTGTAGGAAACTGTAAGGAAACTGATGTATGTGTACAAAATCAGTGTAACACGTTAATTTAGATAGAAGGAAGTAAATAACAGAAGAAATGATAAAAAGGGTTGCAAGTGGTTGCCTCTGGGTTGTGGAAATCAGGCACTGGAAGATGTGAAGAAGAGTATTTATGCTTTCTGCCAGCTTTGCAGCATACTATCTGACTATTTAAACTACATGTAAATTCTTGATCAAACTTTAACTGTTAAAGGAATAAGAAATCAATAGTGTCTAATTTTGCAAAGAGGTCAAATACTTCACAGTTTTAACAGAGTGGTGCAAACAAGAATATAGTTGGGTGGAAAAGGTGAAGAGATTAAGAAAAAAAGAAAACCACACAAAAAAATTCATAACATAGACTACAGTATGGCGATTACCAGAGGGAAAGGGGGTGGCCAGAGGTAGGAGAGAGTAAAAGAGAGATAAATGGTGATGGAAGGAGACTTGACTTGGGGAGGTGAACATACAGTACAATACACAGATGATGTGTTAATAGAACTGTACACCTGAAACCTATATAATTTTATTAACCAATGTAACCCCCATAAATTCAATTAAAAATTTTTTTAAAGAATATAGTTGAGGCCTGAATAGAAGGACATAAAGGGAAACAGTGTACGTAAACTCCAAAAGTTTGGCAATAAAGGTAAGAAATGAGATGGAGTTGTTGCTAGAAAGAGCAGAGTTGAGAGAAAATTGATAACCCGATGTATTTTTAGGATAGAAGAGATTTAAACACGTTCTTAATGGCTAAATTGTACTCAATAAGATGTGAGAAGTTATGGATACCGGAAGGAAAATGGATACTGACTGAAGGAGATTCCTGTAGAAGATAAAATCAATAGCATACACAGCCATCTGTTAGCTATGTTAAAGGGGGAAAGGGGCAAATACGTATGTAAATTCTCTCCCCCTCTCTGCCTTGACCCCTCCCTTTCCTCTGATCCCTCCCCCCTTTCTCTTCCTTTCCCTCAGAAATAGGAGACAGGATAATCTTCAAAGAATGACAAAGATACTAATTTAAGACAGGGGTAAGACCATAAGGGAATGGAACACATAACTTCCGAGCAATACTAAAAGCCCAGCTAAGGTTGAAAATTGTAAATCTTTGTTACTGCAAATCATGGTTTGTAAAATTCATGGTTAAAGAACTGTCAAGGAAAAATGAGCAAGGCTAGAGAGAATATGGATTAAAAGGTAACTCCTTTTATTGCAACTTCATTGGTAAAATGCATGTAACTTAGAAATAAAAGCAAAATTTTTCTAACATTTTTTCACAGTTCAGAATTTATTTATTAAATTTCAGATTTCCAAGAGGATTAAAAAATAAATAAATAAAGGAATAAAACAACTTTGATGCTAACAACACAGTATCACTATCGTTTTATACTTAAAATGCAGAGAGACAACCTCACACTCAGGGAACTGTTGACATTAAATAAATCAAGTTTATCTTTAGAGGAAAAACACTCCAAATGTGACTGATCGTGTACTGTTGGGTAGGAGACACCTACAAAGATTTTTGGATGAAAATGAGTCATCCTAGTCTCTTTAACGCAATCACATTCCTCGCATGGAGGGGGTAGCAATCTTTAAAACATTCTCTCTCTCTCTCTCTCTCTCTCTCTCTCTCTCTCTCACACACACACACACACACACACACACACACACACACACACGCTGGTGGAGAGATAGTGTCTAAATGCTAAGTTAGAATATAAAAAAAGAGAAAGAACTCATTGACGGGCAACAGTGTGGTGACTGCTGGGGGTGGGGGGAGGTGGAAGAGGGTATAGGAGGCTAAATGGTGATGGAAAAAAATAAAAAAATAAAATAAACAAAACAAAATAAGAAAGAACTTTTAGGGCAAACGCTATACTAAATCTTGTGATTGTAGCACAACAGGAATATAATTCCAATCCATAACTTATTGAGTAAGTTAAGCAGGCCATTAATTGGAAGAGAGAAAGGTTATTCACATTCCCAAACAAAAGTCAAATTATAAATGAATGACTTTGCTAAAACAGATTTTTTACTAAAGCATACAAAACTAGATGTTGAAAGAACTATTTACAGAAATTTTTATTAAAGGAAAGAAATTCTCACCAATGGTGTACTTGTATTTTTTTCTATTCTTAATTATATGAATATTAAATTATATCTTCCATCTTCCTGTTTCTTTTTAAACCCTAATTGATGTAGTGATGTAACTGTTAACAGTACTCATCTAAGTCAGTTCAGTTACTGTGTATATTTGAGGAGCAAAAGGGGAAAGGCAGAGGCAGAGGCAGCGAGCGCTTGGGAGAAAGTATGCAACTAAACCAGATCAAATTACTTACATTTTTGTGTGCCAAAAACCCAGGCAGTTTTAAGATCTAATTCTTTGTCTGCACTTTCTCCAGGAGAAGAAGAATACTAAATTCAATCTTTTGTTTCCAACTAAATTGATTTATTTCATCAGCTATTCTCACCAACATTTTTAAGGATGTCTCATTCTAATGGCACTTGGTCAATTCAGCTCAGCTTCCTTTGATTCTATAGGGAAGCACTGGAGTGTACAACATGCTTTTGACCTCTACTAAAAAGACTGCTTTTAATTTACTTGTACCCAAACAACAACTAACAAATGTCAAAAACAATGAGATACAGGGCTAATTTTCAGCATTTGTTAATTTACCACCAGAAAATTCTTGACTGAAATTTCCCTCTCCTTGAGTTTTGGTAAAAACTAAAATGATTAATACTGAAATACTAAAAGCATTCATTAAACATTTTCTGTCAGTTTTCTGTCAGGGACAGGGGACGGGGGG